CTAAATCAATAAAAGACTTGATAGTTCCACAGCAGCTACAGAATAAAATATATGGCAACAAAAAGGAGAAACCTTTGACCCAGACAAATATGGCTTGGACCCAGTGGGAGATCTATATTACCTATAGGAGCTCAATTGCCTATACAACAACATGAACAAACACATCGGGGCTCTAAAAAAGTGATTTCATGGAGTACACATTACCAGAAACCTTCTCTCACTATAAATCAGTATATAGCAGCAGATGTTCTGTAAAATATAGCCCTGGAACATACTCCATAGATCCCAGGGACATTTCTCACTCCCGTTAGGCCCCTTTGAGGTATGGCAATTGGATTGTATCCGAATGCCACTGTCTCAAGAATACGAGTGTGTTAGTTATGACTTGTGTGTTCTCTCATTGGATGGAAGTATTCCCTTGCAGGAGAACAACAGCCTTAATGGAAGGTAAAATTTTATTGGGGGAAAAATAATGCCCCCTCGGAGAGTTTCCTGTGAGTCACATAGTGACCGAGTGACTCATTCACTGGGCAAATAATGCGATCCATTGTGTAACATTTGGCTTATTCTACAGCATTTCATTGTGCTTATCACTCCCAGTTTTTTGGATTGGCACGTACCAATGGCACAAGTAAAACTCAACTAGCTTGAAGATGAGCATCCAGATGCCACCCACACTCCTGGTGCTGGCAGCAAAGCGCCTGGCTGAGGGACCAGGCCTCGGCCATGGCAGCTCTGTAGTACCTGCCCGCTGAGCTCTTCCTGTACCTGTTCGTCCTGGCCTACCACGGTGGACACCACCACCAGCTCCTGAAGGCGTTGACCCAAGCCTGGCCCTTCACTGTCCTCCCTCTGGGGGTCCTGATGCAGCGTCCCCCTGATCATGCCCCAACCGGGGCCATGGGCTTAAAAGCTGTGTTTGACACACTTGACGTTCTGCTTGCCCAGGAGGTGCAAACTGCGGGTGCTGGATTTAAGGAACATGGGTGCCAACTTCTGGGATATGTGGCTTGGAGTCAGCACCGAGAATTGCTCACCGATGGGACCAGTGACTGTGCACAGCTCCAGCCCCAACATGGAGCATCCCCTGGCTCCCTTGGAGGTGTTCCTAGATCTTAACTTCAATGAAAGGGACCAGGATAAGTTTTTCATGCACATCATCCAATGGGCCCAGCAGAGGGAAGGGTTGCTACACCTGTGCTGCAAGACGCTGAGGATTTCTGAGGTGCCCTTCCAGAGAGTCAGGAGGGTCCTGGATAGGGTGAGGCTGGACTGCATCCAGGAGGTGAAAGTGAACTGCACCTGGGACCTGCCCACCCTGGGGACGTTTGCTCTCTACCTGGGTCAGATGAGTAACCTGCAGAAACTCTTTTTCCTGGAAGAGTTGGCTGAGGAGGAAGAGGACGAAGAGTGGGAGGAGGAGGGGGAGGAAGAAGAACAACAGGAAGAGGAGCAGGAGTTGAGGGAGGAAGAGGAGTTGGAGAAGGAAGAACAGGAGCAGAAGGAAGAGGAGCAGGAGTGGGAGGAGGAAGAGGAGTTGGATAGGGAGGAGCAGGAGTGGGAGGAGGCAGGGGAGCAGGAGTGGGAAAGGCAGGAGCAGGAGGAGCAGCAATCCTTTTCCCAATTCCTCTCTCAGATGCTCAGGCTGTGGCACCTCCGGGAGCTCTACATGCGTTCTCCCTCCTTCCTCCCAGGCCGTCTGGACCAGATGCTCAGGTGCCTGCAGACTCCCTTGGACCTACTCTGCCTAACATATTGCCAGCGACTGACGCATTCAGACCTGACACACCTGTTCCAGTGCCCAAACCTCAGGCAGCTGGAGATCCTGCATCTATTTGGCCTCAGCCTTGCGGATTTCAGTGAGCCCCTCCGAGCTCTGCTGGAGGCAGTGGCACCCACCCTCCAGGACCTGGGTCTGGATAAATGTGGGATGGCGGACTCCCAAGTCGAGGCCATCCTGCCTGTCCTAAGCCGCTGCCACCAGCTCAGGAAGTTCGCCTTCAGACCAATCTGTAACCTCAGGCTGAGCAGCAGTGAACTCAGGAGGAGCAGTCCATTCACCCTGAAATTCCTCCTTGGTCACAGCCTTTTCAGCAGCAGCCTGCTCTTCCTTTTCAATCTCTTCAGGATCTCTGTAGAAGTGAAGATCGGGCATGACTTCCCACGGGTGTTCACGGGAAATAGTGCCACGCATGCAGAGTACTTCCCGGGCCAGCATCCACCACATCAGACCCACTGAGTGAGCCCCCTGTTGCAAGGGATGGCAATGTCCACATCGCGCAGAGGAGAGTCTGTGTTACACAGAGCGATGGTGGGCAGGGTAACATAAGACGCCTCTGAGAGGCTGGTGGTCAGCCCCGGGATCAGTAACCACCAGAAGTCTTGGCTCCCGGAAGGCTGCCTGCATCTGGTTGGTGAAGGTTCCAAGAGTGAAGCGGCTGCAATAGGAGTGGCAAGGAACTTGAGGACATCCTCCTCCTTCATTTGCAGGACATCAAGGGCTCCGGACATTGTGAGAAGTTTCCCTTTAAGTTACGTGGGAACCGAGAACAACGCCGTATGGAGCCCTCCCTGGGTAGCAAGGAAAGGCCCTCGGGGAGTTTTTCGCATGAAGGCTGACCATTCTCCTGTCATAGGAATGGTCTGAGCTGTTGTAGCTCAGATTAGCCACCTTGTTATGGGACTTGGAGCTCCTGAAGGCAGGACTGCAGACCCTCCCCCTTTTCAGGTTACACTTGCACGTAGCTATCTTCTCCCTCATCCATATATAATCAACCAACTGGCAAGGGCGGGGGTGGGGGGGGGAGAAGGGGGTTAAAGCAGAATTTCCAGGGTGACTGACTGCTCTCCCTGTGGGGCGCAGCTACAGTGTTTTGGACAGGTTCAAGCCTTGGACTGAGGAGAGGGCACAGTCCTCTCATTGCCACGTGCAAGTCCCAGCTGGATGGCAGAGCCCTCACAGCACAATTATAGCCAACAGTAGTGTAAGCAGCTTGAACCTGTGGTCCAAACACGTGGCCCCATGTGCCTGAGTGATAGAGTTCAGGTGCATGTAGTTGAGTAGGATTGAAACCCATGAGAATGATGTAAATATCTTGATCACACCCTTACTTTGCCTTGTGGCATCTGCTATAAAATAAAGACACGGCTTGTGGGTGCTGGCACTGTCCATCAGAGGGGCAGCGTCCCACCGAGACCCAGCTTTCATTCTCTTGCCTGTCTTTTCTAAGCCTTTCATCACCCCCACTCAGGTTCACCCCTGGCCGTGCCAGCGCGGCACATCTCCCCATACTGCCGGCATTATTAGAATAAAAGTTCATCTATGATTCAACCCTGTATCTGCTTAATTTGGTTCAAGTAGCAACAGGCAGCCTTGGACCCATTGTGTCTGGTTTCACCAAGATAAAACTGAATCCAATTCGACTGTGGTGGCTGTTACACATGGAGGCATGGAGAGTGCACTTGCCTCTGTAGCGTGGGCTCTTAGCGGGGATGTCGATGTCCTCAGCAGCGCCAAGGCCCAGCTGAGAGGGCAGCGGCTGAGGGCAAGCCGGCCCTGGCCTTGGCCCTGGCAGAAAAGCACCTCGAGTCGGACGAGGCAGCGCGGTGCTGTGCGGGGAGTGGAGGAATCCAGAGCCCCATGCCACCCCCGCCGCCCCTGCACTGCTCACTGCAGGACCTGCCCATGGAGATGCTAGTGGAGATCTTCGCCTCACTCCCTGGCACCGATCTGCCCAGCCTGGCCCAGGCCTGCACCAAATTCCACCACATCCTACACACCGACAGCATCTGGAGACGGTGCTGCCGCGAGGAGTTTGGGGTTCGTGAAAACTTGCAGAGCCAGGAGACGATCGGTATCTCTTATCGAGAAGTCTATGCGAAGCTGTTCCACCCATACAGACACATTTTGGGATTGTGGCAGCTAGATAATAGCTATAGAACACTGCTGAATGTAGTGGTGGACGGCTTATGCATTACTGGTTGGACGTACGGACCTTCCCATAACACCCATGTGGATGGCCCAATGCGATTCGAGCCCTCGTTCAGAATTAGCCTGACAGAGAGGAAATCAGCCTCGGTGGAGTACATGGACAGCTTCTACAGCTTTTCCCACAGCCGCCACCTGCAGATTCAGAAGGACAGGTTCAGCATCCAGTGGATCAAGAGAGACCACCGAACGGATTTACCAACACCACTTAGGGGAGAACGGGGGCGGGTGCTGGTGCAGGAGGACAGACATCAGTATGACTGCCTGACCTACAGCCGCCTCTACCTCCCGCCGAGCCACCCGGACGACCTCATCAGGCCAGGCCTCTTCCAAGGCAAATATGATCCCTACGACCTAACGATTGCCATGCTCAGCTTCCATGGGAAGTATGCCAGGGTCACCAAGATCACGGGTGAGTCCATCGGGACATTAGAGATCCACCTCATGCGCCGCATCCAGCTGCCAGATGGCGAGATCTTCCGCAACTTCAATGAGCCTCGTGGTCCAGGAGATTGACCAGCAGGTGATCCGGGAGCAGCAGCAGCAGCAAGAAGATGGGACTGAGGAAAGCGAGGGCCATGGCTGCCAGAGTCCTGCCCAGCCCAGCGCCGGGGAGTCCGGGGCTGCAGCTTTGGAGGAGCAGCCTGTTCCGTTTGTTCTGCCTGTGGGCGTGCACCCAATAGACCAGAACTACCCCCGAACCTGCAGGATGTTTCTATGGCGTGGACACTGTTACTGGTACCTTACATGGCTTCGCCTACACCAGGCGCTGCCCTGGAGTCTTTATCCCGTTCGATGAGAACCACTTCGGGTTCATCTGGCTGGAGGAGAAATACTTCTTCCGGTATGGCAGAGTCCAGAACACCTTCCAGAATGTGGAGGCACCATCCACAAAGGCTTTCCTGGAGATGCTCAAGAACATTCAGGACCCCCTGTGAGGAGCAGCTTGCATGCACTTTGAAGATTTGACCTTCTGACCAGGTTACCCACCTTTGTTTGTTGTTTTTTCAATCCTCACCCGAGGATATTTTCCCATTGATGTTTAGAGAGAGTGGGGGAGAGAGGGAAAGACAGAAATAATCCATGTGAGAGAAACACATCAGTTGGTTGCCTCCTGCCCAAGGCCGGACCAGGGCTAGGCTGGGTAGCAGCCAGAAGTTGAGGTAGAAATAAACCTTAGACCAATGATCTCAACCTTCCTAATGCTGCAACCCTTTAATAAAGTTCCTCATGTTGTGGTGACCCCCAATTTCCTTGTTACAAATTGAACATAATTAAAGCAGAGTGATTAATCACAGAAACAATATGTAATTATGTATGTGTTTTCCGGTGGTCTTAGGCCTTTCCATCAGCAGGCCCAGGCTCTGTCCACTGAGCCAAACCAGCTAGGGCTAAGCATGTCTTTTTAAAAAGAAAGAAAGAAAAAGGAAAGATCCTAAAATTAGATAGCGGTAATTGTTAGATTGTACAACTCTGAATATAATAAAAACCACTGAATTGTAAAAAAAAACAACAACAAAAAAAACCTGAATCCAATTCAAATGGTTTGAGTGAAGACTTTAATGAAAGAAAGCCTTAGTGGATGGAAGGAGTCAGGAATGAGGGATGAGGAGGCACCAGGGGCCAGCAATGGCAGGAAACTACTGCAACCATAGGCCCAAGAGGAGGGAGGTACCCGAACCCAGTGAGAGCTACGCCTGTGGAAGAGGGTCCCACCTGGCAGGAGCAGCGGGCCTGGAGGCACAGACCTGCTGTCTGAGATGTGGCTGGAAAAGACGGAGGGGGAGTTGGGAACAAGTACCCGAACCTCTCATCTAGCCAGTGTCTTCCAGTGGCCAGATCCACCTGGCCGTCAGCTTTCTAGGGAGATTAAGCGATATGGCCCATAGGTTGCTGCCCTCTGGGGGCACAGAGCAGAGTGTAGGGTGCATTGGTGCTGAGCAACGAAGAATAGCCAGCTCCCTTGGAGACCAATGGGGAGGTGAGGCCATCGGAAGGGAATCGCCATATGACCCTCAGGGAGAGGACAGAGTACCAGGCTCTGCAGCCCGTCTTCACACAGGGCCCCATGTCAGGACCCCACAGGCTGGAGTGAGCCAGTGCTGGAGCCCAGAGGCCCTCCCACTAGTCGGGGATTCATTGCAGACTCATTTTGGAGCCGAGAGCGGCAATATTTTGTTCATCCCCAAATCTGGCACTAGTTCCCTGCTGGTTACAAGCTAGCAGAGGTGGAGAGCCCCTGGCAGAGGAATTGGCCAGCACCAGCCTTAGTCTCTGGATATTTTTCACACGTGGCTTCCAGGCTCAGTGCGGCTCCAACACACACACTCTTGCTCCTAAACAAGATTAATCTCATTTCCTTAGTCCTATTACCAGGGAGGTCAGCCATCTCCATTTCCTAATGGAGTTAGATTAGGTGATAAATCAATTCTGATTAGAGACACACTATTCTCCAGTGGGAGGAGGTGCCAGAGGCTCAGCTTGGGGAAGCTGTGGTGTGGGGCTCGAAGGAGAACAGTCTGGGGATTGCTCTCTAGTTAATGAGTATAAAACAAGGTAGTATACCTGTGTCTTGTTGGCTTCTAGCTCAGCATTGCACCGTGTGCTGTTTGAACAGGGTCCATGCCACGCAAGTGTCATTTTAGCCAGTGTCAGGAAGGTGTCTGGCAACTAGAGAGAAACGACGCGAAGAGAGCGCTGCACGGTGCCTTTATATTACAATTTCAACTTTTAAGAATGTCAACTACATACCATGATGAACCCATTTCAGAGAGAAAATTTCACACAACAATGACAACTCCCCTGAGCGGCTTTCAACGTCTTTCTTGTCCAGGCCCTATTTCCTGACCTTATTTCACATTAAAATGAGCATGCCCCTCCTTCTGGGAAATTATGCTAATTTAATGGTCACCACCCACATATATTCCTACCAAACAGTAAGCTCTCCTTCTGACCTTTCTCAGGCAGGTTTGGAGCTTCATGGCATCCAGCACAGATGGGGGTCCTGAGGACCAGCTGACAATTGGGGGAGCACAGAGCTGTACGAGGCCTGTTCTCCGACCATTGAAATGTGAGGACTGTCAGGATGGGCACAAGCAAGGCAACCCCAACTGTGCGTTAGGCAAGCGTTTGGGGCTGAGCATCCCCAGCCCCGAGGATCCAATGAGATGAAGGGAAACCAGAAACCATTGGCTTCCCAGGATCTATAGAAGCCATTTAAGACAGGAATCGTTCTCCTGGTGTGAGTAAAG